CGATGTTCAGAATTACTTCTCGGATAATATTATGTGGACAGGATGTAAGTGATTTCGATATGATCGAAAAAACTCTCCAAACATTTCATCCTGGAAATGTAATCATGCAACAATAATACCGGGCAAAAGGTTATACCACTTACTCGGAGTTGATGCAAGTCCTCCTTGTGGCTGAACAAAATAATCAGCTCGTGATGTTAAACCATCAAACTCGTCCAACTGGATCATCACCATTCCCAGAAGCGAATGTTGCGTCATCCAATCAAAATAATAGGACTGAACGCGGTCGAAGCCGTAACCGCGACCGTGGACGAGGTCGTGGACGAGGAAGACAAAATGATGTTGGTCGGGAAGCAAGAAAGCAAAAAGAAATTGCTTGTAACAGATGCGGCATGAAAAATCATTGGGCACGTACCTGTCGTATGCAAGACATTTAACCGATATGTACCGAGCATCACACGATTCCAAAGAAAAGGATAAAGGAAAGAATTTTGAAACCAATTTCATCTCTGATGAAGCTGGACCTTCCTTTGATGGCATAAGTGATTATACTCATCTTGATATCGCTGATTTCCTTGTTGATCCTGAAGAATCAACGGAAACAAAGCGATTAGGATCGATGTAATATATAGTCTTCTTTAAGAAGGTAAAAAAAACCAATGTAATTTTAAATAAGAATGTAATATATTAACTCGAAAAGGTTTTTCTTAATGTAAAATAATTTTTCAAATCATGTTTTGGGATATTAATGCATTTTCTTGCATATTTTGATTCATAACATGTCATCGTTTGAGATTCAGGATGGAGATACATGTTTAGCCGACAGTGCTACGACACATACTATACTTAACGATAAAAATTATTTCTCCTGTCTCAAAATAAAAGACTCTACCGGAAGCGTGAGTACCATATCTGGTAATGCAAACATTATAATAGGCTCCGAAAGAGCTTATTTTTCAATACCAAGGTGGACAAAGTTTGAAATAAGTGATGCATTATATTCCTCCAAATCTAGCAGAAACTTGCTAAGTTTTAAAGATATCTGAGGAAATGAATATCATATAACAAGTACAAATAAGAATGACATTGAATATCTCTGCATTACAACTGAAAGGAAACATGTATTGGAAGAATTACCAATGATGTCATCTCAGTTATATTGCACAAAAATAAATATGATTGAATCATATGTTACAGTAAACACGGGGTTTACTAGTATATTTAGAGTATGACATGAAAGACTTGGCCATCCTGAATCAGTAATGATGAGAAGGATTGTGCAAAATTCGAGTGGCCACCCATTAAAAAATTAGAAGATTTTTTAATCGAGAGACTTTTCATATCAGACATGTTCTCAAGGAAAACTCATAACTAGGCCCTCACCAGCCAAAGTTGGGAATGAATTCCCTGTATTCTTAGAGAGAATACATGGTGATATATGTGGGCTGATTCACTCACCGTGCGGACCATTTAGATATTTTATGGTACTAATTGACGCATATAGTAGATGGTCACATGTGTGTCTATTGACCACAAGAAATATGGCTTTCGCAAGATTCATTGCCCCAATAATCAGGAGAGCGCAATTCCCTGATTATGCCATAAAGAAAATCAGGCTTGATAACGCTTTTGAATTCACTTCAGCGGACTTTAATGACTGTTGTATGTAATTGGGAATCGATGTTGAGCATCCAGTTCCACATGTTCATACACAAAATGGCATGGCTAAGTCTTTGATAAAACAGTTGCAGTTGATTGGAAGACCGTTAATATTGAGAACAAAACTCTCAATTACTGTATGGGGACATGCTATATTGCATGCTGGATCATTGGTCCAGATGAGACCAAGTGCATATAATGAATATTTCCCAATACAGTTAACATCTGGCAAAGAGCCAAATGTATCCCATCTCTGTATTTTGGATGTGTGGTCTATGTCCCAATAGCCCCGCCGCAAAGAACAATAATGGGGCCACAAAAGAGATTGGAAATATATATCGGCTATACGTCACCAAGTATAATTAGATATCTTGAACCAGTAACTAGAGATATGTTTACGGCACGTTTTGCCGATTGCCACTTTGATGAAAATGAATTCTATGTGTTGGGGGGAGGATCAAGAGAATCACCAAAGGATATCACATGGTGTACACAAACCTTGGCTTATCTTGATCCCCTACCCATCAACGCGAGGTGGAAGTTCAGAAAATTATACATTCGCAAAGTTTGGCAAACCATTTACCTGATGCGTTCACGGATATTCAAAGGATGACGAAATCATGTATCCCCGCTGTTAATGCTCCATCAAAAATAAATGTTCCAAAACAAGTTATTGATGGGAATAAAGCAAATGAACCACAGGTTCAACTAAAGCGCGGGAGACGACCGATGGGCTCGAAAGATAAAAATCCTCGAAAGAAAAAGAAATTGTGAGACAAAGTTCCAGAAGAACCGAATAACAAAAAATGTCTTGAAGACATTGGTGAAAAGGTTCTAGAAGAACCATATAGAGATATATGTCCTGAAGACATACATGAAGAGGTTCTAGAAGAACCAGTTAAAGAAGTTCGTCCAAAAGACAAACATGATACTGAAAAGTATGAGATTTCCATTTACTTCATCCAAAGTGGGATATTATGGGCTAGAAGCGAGATAAATGATAAAAATGGAATGTTCTCCTTTTTGATATCCAAAGAAATTGATAATGAAAATGATGATCCAGACCCAAGGTCCATGTCAGAGTGCCAAAAAAAGCCTGACTGGAAGAAATGGCAGATGGCCATGAGAAATAAATTAATCTCCCTGAATAAAAGAAATGTTTTACAACCTATAGTCATTACACCTGAAGATGTAATGGCAGTCGGGTGCAAATGGGTTTTTGTGAGAAAAAGAAATGAGAAAAACGAGGTCACAAGATATAAAGCCCGACTTGTGGCACAAAGTTTTTCTCAAAGACCGAGAATTGATTATCAAGATACATATTCTCCGTTCATGGATGCAATCACATTCAAGTACTTAATGAGCCTAACGACATCTAAAATCTAGATATGTAACTTATGGGTGTTGTGACTGCATATCTATATGGATCACTTGATAGTGACATATATATGAAAATCCCAGAGGGAGTAAAGATCCCATAAAGACATATGTTCGATCAAATTACAGTGATCACTTTATGAATTAAAACAGTCTGGGCGTATGTAGTATAATCGCTTGAGTGAGTACTTGTTCAGTAAAGAATACATCAACAACGCGATATGCCCTTGCGTTTTTATTAAAAAATTCTCATCAGGATTTGTGTTCATTGCGGTATATGTTGATGACCAGAACATAATCGGAACTCAAAATGAGATTGATTATGCAAGAACTCACATGAAAGAATAGTTCGAAATGAAAGATCTTGGAAAAAGACAAATCTTGTCTACAGCTCCAAATTGAGCATTTCTAAGATGAAATATTTGTGCATCAATCAAATTACACCAAAAGAGTGTTAAAACGCTTTAAAATGGATAAAGTAACTCCTTTGAGTACTCCAATGGTCAAAAAATCACTTGATATTAACAAGGATCCATTTTGACCTTGTGAAGATAGCGAAAACGTATTAGATCCTGAAGTACCTTATATGAGCGCTATCGGTGGGCTAATGTATCTTGCAAATTGTACTCGACCAAATATAGCCTTTGCTACTAATCTACTTGCAAGATACAGCTCATCTCCTACGCGCAGACATTGGAATGGGATAAAACATATTTTTTGTTATCTCCAAGGTACGATTGATCTGGGTTTATTTTATCATAGAAACCCTGAAGTTGGTCTAGTTGGTTTTGCAGATGCAGGATATTTATCAGATCCGCATAAAGCTCGATCGCAAACTGGATTTTTTTTTTCACAATTGGTGGAACAGCGATCTCGTGGCGTTCTCAAAAACAAACTTTGGTAGCCACTTCTTCAAATTATGCGGAAATCATTGCTCTCCATGAAGCATGTATAGAATGCATATGGCTCCTATCTATGACTCAACATATACAAGGTGCAAGTGGAATAGTCATCGATATGGAACCAACAAAAGTGTTCGAAGATAATGCTGCATGTGTCGCTCAACTTAAAGAAAGTTTTATCAAGAGCGACAGAACAAAACATATTCCTCCAAGGTTTTTTTCTTACACTCAAGAAATCGAGAATAATTGAGAAGTGAATATCCAATATGTTCGTTCGAATGATAATGCAGCATATCTTTTTACAAAAGCGTTTCCTACTATATCATTCAGAAAACATGTTCATAATATTGGAATGCGCCGACTGCGAGATCTAGGAAGAAAGTTTATATTCATCACTTCCAGAGGGAGATTACGATACTATACTTTTTTTCTCTTATCATGGTTTTTATCCCAATGGATTTTTCCATGATAAGGTTTTTAACGAGGCAATACGTAATACATTATTAGTGATAGATAATCAAAAGGGAGTGTTGAAAAATGGATAATGACTATCCATCTTATACTTCTTGTAGAAATAAATTTAGTTGTTACCTATCCTTGATTATCCTTGATTTTGAGTTGTTGCTACTTATCCTCCAACTAATATAAATATGATGTAAAAGAAGTATATGTGAAGCAGCAATAATAAGTGAGAAACTCAATTCTCTTTTCTTCCCTCCTACCAAAAAAATATACAAATACATATATATATATATATAAATACATATAATCTTATCTATTTAATATCAAGTTCCACTGGCCATATAGTTTAGCTTACCTATATAATTAAAAGCACCCGACTAGCTATCAGCAATCGGTTCTATGGTCTAGCGGTTAGGACATTGGACTCTGAATCCAGTAACCCGAGTTCAATTCTCGGTAGAACCTGCATTTTGATGTTTCTTTTTTTTTTTCCCACACACTAAGCTTCCCACGTGCAACTGAAATAGTCAAAAGTCATATAGATTCACACACCTACGGTATCAGATCCAATAAAAAGAAGGAAAAAAAGTGGAACTAAAATATTTAAACGAACACAACCTTTCCTTATTTTTTCCCGGCCTTTCAATAAAAAAGAAACCGGAAAAAAAAAACCAATCTCCAAGAATTACAAATTTACAAAATCCACGTTGAACCAAAAAAAAAAAGGACAAAAGAGTGAATTACAAATTCTAACTCCGCCAATCCTAACCAAAAATAAAAATAAAAACGAAACAAAACAAAGAAGGAGAAAATAGAAAAGAAAGAAAAAAAAATCTTCCCTCCTAACATTATGCTACCTTGAGGACTTTCCTTTGCCTCTGTTATTATCGACAACAAAGAATCGATGAAACGAATCACAAATTTTTCTCCTCTCTACTCTCCTTAAACCTCTTTGCTTATACATCTTCCCCATAAGCAGCAGGTTCTGGCACAATCTCACTAGACTGTCGTCTTCTCGACGATGAATTCCCATTGTTATTGTTCCTCCCGCTGCTCCCTTGCGACCCTGAGTTTCTCAAACCATTACCACCACCACCACCCCCACCGCTCGTTGCTCCTGCAGCTTGAACCGCCGTTACATCAGACGCGCTCTGCCTCCAGCTACCAAATATAGCAGCGTTCCAAGAACCTCTCGACGAGTTTGTTCTCAACCGTGAAGAGCCAGAGCCAGAGTTGTTATCCTCTCTAACTACTTTCAACGGGTTTTCAAGAGCGTTCACGATGTGTCTCATTAATGGTCGTCTTGTTGGTTTCGGGTTTAGGCATGACTTAGCGATGATAGCCATTGCCCATACTTCTTCTAGTAAGTCCTCGTCAACCATCAGTGACGGGTCCAAGATCTTGGTCACTAGCTCCTTCTCGTTTGTGCTGATGTATTGTAAAGCTTCTTCCATGTATGCTTTTGCTTCTGCGTTGTCTGGCGAGCTGATACCGAGCTTCCCTGTGACTAGCTCGAGCAATACTTTGCCAAAGCAGTAGACATCATAGGCGCATGTTGCATTTGTTGCACCTGAAGAGTAGAAACCAATCAGATGGCTTCTTTGAAGCACATGAGACGTTGTTACTATAGCCTAAGAACTTAAGGTTCTATTAAGCAAGAAGCTATTTAACCGTTACACGTAGAATATCTAAACTAAGGTTATATCGTACCTGAAGAGGATGGTTCTGTTGATCTGCAAGAGTGGGGAAAGAAGAGGGAGAAGTATAAGTAAAACTAGAAAGAAATTTTTAGAGCCGAGCCAACACAAAAGCTTTAGAGGGGCTTGTCACTTACTGAGGTAACCGAAGTAAACGAGAGATCCTGCTTTGATAAGCATCACCTTGAGCGTATGCGTCGCTTAGGCTTCCGAGACGTACCTCAAATTTATCATCAAGAAGTATGCTACTTGCTTGTACATCCCTATATAACATAGAACACAAAAACATGAGTAACGCTTGCTTCTGTGTTTACTATGCAACATAGCAACATTTAGAGCATGTGGTTTTACACTAATAATCCATAAAGAATAGATCTTACTTCCAATGAACATGAAAGATTATATGACACTAAAAACAGAATCAACAAGTTACTTTGTGAAGTCTTAGCAGATGGAAATTCTTCACTCCTGGTTCACAAATGTTACTTCTTACTATATATTTCACAGTATTCGTTATGTCAATGCTTTCAACAGAATCAAGATTTTGTTACAAGAAGTTGAGGAGGAGAGTGAGTACCTATGAACTAGAGGTGGTGAACACTCGTGATGCAAATAAGCTAGTCCCTCAGCTGCACCAAGAGCAATCTTCAACCTCGTGATCCAATCCAAAGACTTCAATCCATCACCTTCGTTGTCTGATTTTCTGAACAAAGCGCTAGCCAAATCTCCGTTCCTCATAAACTTGTAGACCAGGAGCTTTTGGCTCTCATTCTCCAAGCAGTGTCCCAGAAAAGGAACTAGCCTCTGGTGTCCAGCTTTACTAAAAAGTTCCAGCTCTGATATATACCCTTCGTTCTTACTTCCCTGCATATCGATCTTTTTGATAACAACGGGTACGCCGTTTTCCAAGAAACCACGGAATAAGCTCCCGGAATGTCCACGTTTTATCAATTTGGCATCACTGAATTCCTCTGTTGCAAGGAGAAGCTGCTCATACGAGAAAGCATTCCCAAGACGTGACAGATCAAAGGTCTGTGGTCCTTTAGGTGGTTGAGAAGCTTCCGCTGCAGGTTTAGGTCTATCAACATTCCCTCTCTGCGCCGTTCTCCTTCTCCGGCGTATACATAAAACCACAAGAATTGGCAAAACAACGAAAAACAGAATAAAACCAACTCCTCCAGCCACTGCTATCAATATAATCACTGTTCTGCGGCTTATCCCTGAAGAAGCCTTTTCCGGTGTAGGTTGTGTAGAATTGGGGCGTCCAAAATCATCAAAGTCTGATCCCCTAGCTGTATAGAACGATGAGCAAACTTCCAAGGACTTTTGTCCCTTCTCGTTTTGAAGACAGTTCCTAGTAACAGACACGTTTGCCTGGAGCACGTAATCTGGAACTTTACCTTCGAAATAATTACCAGAGAGGTCCATAGAATCTGTGAACCTTCTAAGAATCTCTGTGAGCTCCCCATAGAATGCGTTTGAGGAGATATCAATCATTGCAGATGATTGGTTTGGATCATAAGTAGAATTTGGTAGCGTTCCTGTGAAGTTGTTCTTACCAACGTCAAGACTCCGCAATCTAGGCAACGACCAAAACGCATCAGGTAAGTTACCGGAGAAACCATTTTCTCTCAAAACCAAAGATCGAAGTTGGCTCTCTCCAGCAAACAAATCAACCGGTAAAGATCCACTCAACAGGTTATCACTAATCACCAAATTCCGCAGCTTCCTTAAGTTTCTCAGCTCCTTAGGAACCGAACCAGACAACGAGTTGATGCTGAGATCAAGGTCAACAAGATTGACAAGATCCCCGAGCTGCGAAGGAATCGAAGACGAGAAACTGTTGCTGGAGAAATTCAGATAGAGAAGCTTCAATAACGTTCCAACACCGGGAGGGATTGGTCCGGTGAGGTAATTGGAAGAAACATCAAGACTCGACAGATTCTTCAAAGAGCTAAAAGATGGAGGAAGAGCACCAGTGAGCGAGTTCTTAGAGAGATCAAACTCCAAGAGATTCGACAAATCCCCTAAACTACTCGGAACCAAACCAGTAAGACTGTTACTAGACAGATTCAAGCTTCTCAAGCTAGTTAGATTACCAAGAGTGAAAGGGACAACACCACTCACAGAGCAAGAACTAAGATCCAAGACTCGCAATGCGTTCAAACCAAGACCAAACCAATCAGGAACAGAACCAGGCAACGAGAAACCAGAAGCGTTGAAATAAGCCAAACGGGTCAGATTGAGAAGCGGATCAACATTGAATTGTGGGTTTTGCTTACCAATCCTTGTCCTCCTGAAACCTGAGATGTTGATCCCAACGATGCTTCCATTACCATCACATTGTATCCCTTTCCAAACACCACAAGGATCGCCTTTGATTGGCCAATCTGTTCCTCTTAATCCGAGAGAAGACCTGAGACGAAGCAGAGCGAGCCGCTCGTCGAATCGAGCCCGTGATTGAGACAAAACACAGTCGACGAAAAGGAATAACAACAACAATGAAGAAGACACAACGAAACCCAATGCGGTTCTTCTCCGATGATCAACCATTGCTCTTATCAACAACACTCATCTCATCATCACTACCAAAAACCCAAATTCAGCCCTAGAATAAATATTGAGCAATGTCCCAAATTAAAACCCTAGAACACAATCTTCGATTTGCGGAGAAGAAGACAGAGATAGATATCCAACTGGTTTTCCTCTGTATCTGGATCCAAATACAGTTCCTACCTTCACAGACATTAAAGCACCTCTCTTTCTCTCTCTCTCGCTTTCTTCTCTTTCTCTCTCTCTCTCTCTCTCTCTCTCTCTTTCTCTCTCTATAATCCTAATTCCTAAGCTCAGAAAATCACTAATCTATAGAGTCGAAGAAACAAAAGCTATTTTGTGAAAATCTTTAGAGAGAGAGAGAGAAGATCGAGATTGTTGAGAAAACAACTGTAGACTGTGACACTCTCCTCTCGTCTTTGCAAGAAACTTCAAAATTAAAATTAAAAAATTAAGTAAAAATTAATACTACTCGGTGTAATAATAATTAAAAAAAAATATTGCTGTGAATTGAAATTATTATAGCATTAAATTGAAAAAAACGTAGATGGTGCAAAGTGACGTCGTTTTACTGTTTTGGTTTGACTTTCCCGGTAATCCCGCCCGAAGACAGCTAAGCTGTTGCCGCAATTACTATTCCTATAAAAGGTTGGGAACAAAATCTCCGTTTTTTCCCTTTTTTCTTTCTTTTTGGATATCAAAAGTTAATGGTTTTGCAATTTTAAGGACTGATTACATTCATGTACTAAATTCAATATTCTTGGTAGAATGAGGTAATAATAATACCTATCGAATTTACTTTTGAATATCAAAGTAGATTTCCTTCCAACCAAAACCAAAAGATCGTTTAATTAGCATATCAAGTGATTGTACTAGGCTAATGCTTTCCATTTGTAGAGTAATTGTTATGTTGGTATAGGGCAGGGAATGATTTCCCATTAGCGCGAATTTATATAACTGTATTTAGCGGGTTTATTCTATTTTAGTGTTTGTCAGCCTCAATGTGTATATAAAGGATTATGTATAAAAAAATATAAAATCCTTTTATTTAGCCAGTCAAAATAATATTATATTTATACTCATTTGAAAATCCAATTAATATACTACTCAAATGCTATATTCTCCATGGAGAATTAGTCAAATGGTAAGAGTTTATATCACTTTATGGTTATAATCAGAGTCAGGTTTAGACACATTAATAAAGCATGTACTTCAGGACTAATGATTTTAAATATTATTTTGGGACCAATTTTCAAAAAAAAAGTTAGTTTAGTTTGTCTTATATGCAGTTTTAGGGTGTCGTTGCAATAGTTTAATTCTCTATAGTTGCGAGAGTCTGATAGTTTCTTTTATTTTAAAAAAAATTGGTCTACAATTTTTAAAAAATTAGAAAATTTAAAGGAGAAAACTGCAGTATAAATAAGAGTCATGATATTACTGTTCTTTGATATCATTTAAAATTGATATTTTTTGTTACATTATTTTTATATAAAACATTAAGGAGGCAATTTTTTATTCGTTTGTAATCAGAGAAATTTCAAACCCGGCTCTGGTTATAATATTATATATATATATATATATATATATGTTTTTTCTCTAATAGTTCATTTCAGGATGAATATAATCGTCTTTAATCTATTCACCGCATTTTAAAGTATGGTACTTAAATTGGTTAATGGGAATGGTAAATTTCCACGCAAGGGGAAGCGAGTTGACATCATGCCCATGGGGGATACGGTTGGATGGACTAAGATTCATCCAGAGATTTTAATAAATCCAGGGATTTTAATTAACGAAAGAGAATCCATACTTAAGGCTGAAACACCTTTTGTTAGTAGAGTGTGTGTGTGTGTGTGTGAGAGAGAGAGAGATTGTGTGTAATTAAAGCTTAAAGTATTCGATGTGTGTGAAGATCTCTCGGTCGATTGTTAGTTATATTGAGAGAGTTTTAGTAAAGAAGTATTTAATAAAAATATACATAATTCGGATTGGGAAGTCAATTGAGTAGTGAGGTTAGGTTGTCCTAGTCGTATGATCCGTGCAACCGATTTTAGTTTGCTTTCACTTAATGTTACGTGACTAATATCTTTTTAGAGATGTCACTTCTTTTGCGGAAACATATGTTTAGCGCACTTGATTGGTTTTGCATGGAGCATTATCTAAATTATAGATAAGATTTATGAGTTGATAGGGTTTCCAAGAGTTGGATCATTCTGCCTGCATGTCACAGTCTCGATGGGAAACTGAACATTCTCAACATTTTTTATATATAGTTCTTATTTATTTGATACATATATCAATTACAAGCCTGCAATTAAATATCTTTGCATTTATCAAATAAAATTACCTTAAAATAGCAGAAAATTAAAATATCAAAAGTAGTATAAACTATTGTGTGAAAATACTTGTTTATCCTAATTGAAGTACAAATAAAATCAAACATAAGATGTGTAGGTTTCTTTATTCCAACACAGAGTTTAGATTTTGTAAAATAATTAGGAAGGAGTTTTCAATAATTTTAATACCAAATTATGCTATTATTGAAAATTTACATTAGAAATATTATGTTTTGAATAAGACTTAAATATATGTTGTTTTAAAGATTTTTTTTCTATCGAAAATATATTTACACATAATTTTAAAAAAAAACTAAAGATTAATCAAACTGTGAGACTCCGCTTCTGTCTTCTCTTTGGAGAATCAGGCGGATTGGCTATTAAATTCATGAGACTCCGATCCTGACTTTCATATGGATTAGCTATCAACTCTTAACACCACAACCGTCTTTTCCAATGAGTCCAACACTTCTCTTTAGGCCTGTTGGCTCAACATCCTGTTTCTAAATTTGTTGGCCCATCACTGTTCGACGGTCGATGCGTTAGTCCGAAAGACTCGTAAGACTCAGAGGCAGACTCATGTTGAAGCATAGGGGTTCATATGACACCCCTTAAATTTATATATTCTTAGTTTTGGTAAGGATGTTAAAAGGTTCCACAGCTCATTTGGTTCTTCAATCTCATGCTTGACACCCCTAATCTGAGTTTGATTCTTAAGATAACAATATTTTTTGTATTTTTCTTTATATGTCTGCACCCCCTTAAATTCAATCATGGATCCGCTACTGGTAAGACTTATCTAGTGTCCCTGTAATCATCACATGATTTTTCACGTACTTTTTGTTCTCACTCATATAGTATTATGGACCATTTTTCGATAGCTCACTCATTCTGAAATTGCTCCAACCTTAAAAACTTTTAACTTTAATTTTTTTTCAAAAACAGTGTCAAAAAAAATAAATACACTTTAATAATATAAGTAACTAAATTATTTATTAGATCTATATTATGGTTTAGTCTGGTTAAGCCTCCTTTCACTTAACCACACTACTATATATATTTGTAAATGACACTTTACAGAATTAATGAGAAATCTTCTTTCCCTATCTAAAGTGTTAATATGGTATCAGAGCGAAGTGAGAGAAAATCTTCCGCGTAACGAACTTTCTTCGTCTGAGCTTTCATGGCGTCTTCGTCAATCTCGTATCTTTGATTTCTTCTCCTTGATGATTTCAAACGATTATCATGAGTGCTTCGATGATTGAGCTTCCTTTTCTTTTCTTTTCGAATCTTCTTTCTCAATTTCTCGATTTCTTTCGATCTTTTATCACCTTGATTCTTCTCAATTGGAGCTTCAATTGTTGTTGACTCTCTCATTCTCAACACAATTGCATCTTCTTCTTTGTTTGATTCACATTGAATCGTTCATATTTCATCTTCGATTTCTTCAAATATCGCAATGACTCAAGTTACCCAAACTTCATCGACAGATCATTATGAGAATCCGTACTTTCTACATAGTTCGGATCATGCCGGTCTTGTTCTCGTCTCCGATCGTCTCACAACTGGTGCGGATTTTCACTCTTGGCGTCGATCGATTCGTATGGCGCTTAATGTTCGGAACAAGATGGGGTTTATCGACGGATCCATCAAGAAACCTGAAGAAGGTCACCGCGACTCCGGATCTTGGTCTAGATGCAACGATATGGTTGCAACATGGCTCATGAACTTTGTTTCCAAGAAGATTGGACAGAGTCTTCTATTCATCAATACTGCAGAAGGTATCTGGAAAAACATCTCTTCTCGCTTTAAGCAAGATGATGCTCCTAGCACTACAAGAAAACACAAGATTACCAACGAATTTTTACAACGATTTTTTTCGTTGCAACTTTACGACGAATTTACAACGAATTCGTCATTAATTCGTTGTAAAATGATTCGTTGTAAATTTACGACGAATTTACGACGAATATGGTATTCGTTGTAAAATCGTTGTAAATTAAATTTACAACGAATCTTAATTTTATTTAATTAAAAAATAAACGTTGTTAATTCATTGTAAATTTTTTTTTATTCAAAAATTAATAATCGTTGTAAAATCGTTGTAAATTTACAACGAATTAACAACGAATATTTTTTTTATTAAAATAAAATTAATATTCGTTGTACATTCGTTTTAAATTTACAATAATTTTACAACAAATTCTTTTTTAAATAAAAAACATTTAAAAAAATTATTGCAAGTTTTCTATTATTAAAAAAAAATCTTTTCTCCTAACTACTATTATTTATAAGTTCTAAAATCTTATTATTTTATGTTTACATTATATAAATTTTATGTTGATTTATTAAATTTTCATATAAAAAATGTATGTATAATTTATTACAGTATGATCATATATAATTTATTCAAAGTTAACAAAGAATTACCGACGATTCGATGTAAATTCGTTGTAAAAATTTATTTTATTTTATTTTTTAAATTAACAACGAAATTACAACGATTCATCCTAAAATCGATGTAAATTCGTCGTTAATCAAAATTACAAAAGTCACACATCGGTAGTTTGGCAAAATTTCTTACAATATATATATAACAAACTCAACACTATTATATAACAAGTTCAACAATCTATCTTCACCGCTGGAGTCATCATCACCACCGCCGGAGCCATCACCGCCGCCGGAGCCACCACCGCCGCCGGAGGAACCACCACCGTCGGAGGAGCCACCACCGCCGGAGGAGCCACCACCGCCGGAGGAACCACCATCGCCGGAGGAGCCACCACCGCCACCGGAGGAACCACCACCACCGGAGGAGCCACCACCGCCGGAGCCACCATCGCCGGAAATATAATAAAAATCGTTGTAAATTCGTTGTAAAAATAATAATTAAAAATAAATAAAATATTAAAAATCGTTGTAAATTCGTTGTAAAAATTTTAAAAATAAAAA